AAAGAACGCGTCAAGAACACCGGAATTACAAAACTCCTTGTTCTATGGTGTGGAGAAGTCTAAAAGGCGGGCAGCGGGGTGCTAAGAGATGCTAAGAGATAATGTGAGTCGCGGAAATGAAAAAGGCTCCATTGAGAGAGAATAACATCACAGTTTAAGGCGTAATTTAGACTAGAGGGCAGCTCATTAGAATTAGGGTAGAGGTGGCCAGTTGGACTGGGACGAAAAGAAACTGAGAAGGGGCCAAGGACCCGACAAATGGATTCCTCCCTTGGGTGCTGATTTCCGCCTGGGTGCGATTCTCATAGGTGCTGCCCTCTTCAACGCTAACGCTCTCTCTGCTAAACGGCTAGAGACCTGCGGCGAGTGGTAACAGAATGGCATGATCCCAGCGTCTTTGGAGAATACGTTCGCTTAAAATGTTACGCATAGGCTGGAAGCTCCTCAGAAAACTTGCGCTTGGTATTCCTGGAATTCTTTCAACGGTTACTGCGGGAGGATACGTAACGAAAATCATCGTTTTTAAATTTGAAGCTATTTTCGCAGCTTAGTTGGTGAAAATCGATACTCCGATACCTCCCCCCCCCCCGTCTTGCCATGTCCCTTACCTTGGTTGGGCAAATGTTAACGGAGAATAACCCTGTTCCCGTGATGATGTGACTTGTCGCCGTTATAAATGCTTACAGAGAGAGCCTTGATGGTAAGAAACGTGACTAGAAGTACTAAAGCTTCAGTCCGATCACGAATTGTCCGTCGGTTATATATTGCTTACATAGAGAGAAGACAGATTGCTCGTAAGGAACGTTGACCTGGAAGGTAACTTCACGATTACATCAGGGCTACCGTAACCCAAAAATGGTGTGGCTTATTAATTTGACTTAGTGTTAGATTGCCGATACGCACCACACTAGCAAGTCCTCCGAATCTAGCCCAACTCCGTCCATTACCGGGACTCATTGAATTGGAGAACATCGCTTGAAAAACCCAGATTCTGGTTTGACTTCAGTGGAGACTCGATTCTTTGTTATATGCGATACCTACCCTCCCTTTCAAATAACGAGAAGGACGTCGGGTGCAGATCACAGTCGGCCTCCACAAAATGTAAATGTTTTCTGCCAATGAAATGATTAGCCTGTTGCAGTTGTATTCTATCAGTTGTCACTAATTACAACTATCATTTACCAAAAATCAGCTATCACTATGAACCACTACTAACCAGATTTACTTGGAGGCCGTCGTCACTTGTGGTGTATGGTCTGCACCCGACGCTCTTCTCATTTTTTGGAAGGGAGAGTACAATCACGTCGGAGGCCTGTCCATAGGTACATGCGCTTGCAGCGCATTCAAGCTCTAAAGCGCTTCCCATTAAAATTGTTTTCTCCGCAGGACGGTACGAAGGTCACAGTGGCTTAGCGATCTGTTAAATAATTCTACTACCGGCTCGTGAGCATGGGAACTAGTAGCACTTGCCACTACACCACGTCGGCCAAATATGTAAACACTGTCTCGTCTCAATGATTATGAATTTGGCTAAAATGTTGCCTCCGAGGGTATTTTACTTCCTAGGATACGGATACCAGTTCGCCGACTGCGAACGGCTGATGCTAGACCTCGCGAATCGCTCGATCCCTACTAGCGGATCGCTCGATTCGCAAAGTCTGACGCCGGCCAAAATATTTGGCTCTTGTGCCGTAAGAGCCAGACGCCAACGCCGAAATTGCCAAAATAACTTGGATTACCAAATTCGTTGGAGACTTGGTGTTGGGGTACTTTGACTCTGAACCATCAGGGTCAACCCTACGTTGTTACTATAATAGTAACCACGGGGGGTCGTACCTGGTTGAGTTTAGTTGAGTTTATAGGAGGAAGGGGGTCGTATCCGCTTCAGATCGCCGGTGTGGCCCTTAGGTGAGATGGGAGCGCACGGGAGAAAAATTCTCCGTTTCAGCGCGACGTATACCCCACTCCCCTCGTCGGCATTTTTGAAGGAAAAAGTGGGTGGAGTTTCGAGTGATACCAGAATTAAATACCATAACGAGGAATATGGTGGTCTAGGGTCGAGAAGGGGGTCCCCCTTTCATAAAAACATTTTGAAAAGTAACAACGATAGAACGGACCCTGCTCTGAACCATGAATATCACATTGTTTGGTTACGATTTAGCTTTTAGCCTGCGCCCCATGCGCCGGCGCGAAATTAGTGTGATAGCGCCAGCGCCTGTGGCGGAAAGCGTTTTTTCGTTGAATCGATGTTATATGTATTCGTGTCTATGAGTCAAAATACTCCAGAAGACAACTTTCTAGCCAAACCCATCGTTAGTACCACGGGCGCCGGCGCGAAACTATTGTGATAGCGTCAGCTCCTCTGGACCAGACGGCAAGCGCTGTTTTTCGCCTAAACCGGTGTTATGTTCGGGTTCTATGAGTTGAAGTACTCCAAGAGACAACTTCCTGGCCAAGTCCTTGATAAAACAATTTTGATTGAAATCCGGCTCAGTTTTCGGATTGAGGGCATCAAACGCTTAGTAGTGCACTCTTCAAATAATAATTTCAGGAACTCGACCGCATTAGTAACTTGGGTTGTAATTTTAGGTCGCTGGAAGAAAAGTCTGGCGCGTTTAGACCTTGGATTTTTTCGAATGGCTTGTAGCTCGGCGCATTCGCGAACCTTTTCGATTGGAGTAAAGACTCCACAAACCTCTGCCAATAATAGCTGCGTTGAATCAAGCCCGGTAGTGCAGAATACTGGAGCTCTAGAGACGATGAACCCGGCGGAGGTCGTTTCCGCATCATGTTGGTTTTTGAAGCATAACTCTTTGGAGAAGCTATCCAGGTAGTCGAGAAAGTGACAAATTATAGGCAAAAGGTCTACCGAGTAGGATGTTCGCAGGACTAATTCGTAGCCAATCTTGTCGAACTTCTGCAGGGTTGGTTGTGGAATGTGCGTCCGAGCTACCTGTCAGGGACGAGCCGGTTCCTTTATAATGAGGAATTTCGAGCATATGTGCCAGAGTTCTAGGAGTAGTTTGACACATTATCAGGAGTACTTTTTCCACATAACAGATCCACCTGGTTACGAAAAGCTAGACCAGCCGCTGACCTTATGAAAGTCACCTCAACCTTCCTTCAGTGAAGTTTCACTTTTGCAAAGTTTGTAGAGCCTGATCGCGGTCGATCACTTCACCAAAGGTTCGTATTCTGTAGCAAAGAATCCGTTCTTTATCGTACGTCGCAATGATGTCGGCCAAACGGTTACGTGAAAAGTCAGGTCGTTTTCATGGCATAAAACGAGCTAGAAAGCGGCGAACGACCCTTCAAAATGGTGCGTTGTCGCGGCACGCCCTATTTGAATTTTTGGGACTTTCCAGCTCTTCCCGTACAACAAGAAAACACAATGCAAGTGCGAGTTTAGGAGGAACCCTCTCAATAGATTTGTGCAAACGTGCTTCAACCAGAACGTTCGACTAATCGTTGGCGTTGTCCAATCTCCGATCACCACCCTCACAATCTTTAGGGCTCTCGCTATTCTTACAAAAGCTTTTTGAACAATTGCTTCAGACCATATTTATTGCGAATCTCAGCCAAGTGCGTCTATAATATCTTGACCTGCTTCCTCTCCATACTGGCCTGCTTTGAGCTAGAAAAAGGAAATCATGCAAATTTGCTCTTGGAGTATGCCGTATTCAAGGCTTCAAAAAATGACAACTAAATGATAAGAAACATAGCTAGCCTAGCTGTTAGATAGAACAAGAAAAGCTCTTCAAAACCACATACAGCTCATTGGCGGCTTGCTTGAATTCGTAACAAAATAAAGCGTTCAAAAACGAAACACCGAAAAGCGCAAGAACTTTCTTCACGACCTAATAGATTCTCATAAGGTGATCTCTGATGAAAAAAGTCAAATTCAAATTCAGATGATTAATAGTAAGTAAAATAACCATGTGCATCATATTTAGTTCTCTCTCCTCTAACGCTGATTAATTACCTTTTCACCCGTTGGAGATTTTCAATAATTTACTTATGAAAGCACATTTCTGAAATCCCCTGCTTTCAATTAACTTTCAAAATGAGTTGCCTGCAGGGCTGGCCTTTATACCCATTACTGAGTAATGTACTATCATGAGGGCGGAACGGAGCACTTGCCGCTAACCCTGTTCCCAGACACTACAGTGTCCATATAAACTCTCTCCCTCCCATCGCTGAGCTGAGCAGTCACAATTTCGCCCCATAGAGACAAATGAATTCCTCGCACGCGGCTGCATTCGATTAATTGGCTGATATCAAACCACTTCACCACAACAAATCCTCAATTCAGTCCAATCATTTCTTTATATAGAACGGGCTCTTAGTCCTAAAAATAGCATAGACAGAATGATAACGAAGTTATTCCGATGTGTTTTTCCAGTCCGAGCTCTGTAGTCGATAATGAGGTAGTGCCTGCGTTTCGTTGATAAGCCTACGTCTACTTTCTTCATTTACTGCCGGCTCGAGCCCGGCGATTTGGTCGCGTTGGTCGAAGACCACCCTCTTTCTCATCACTATGATTGCTTACGGACATCCTTCTACCCCTTGCTGCTGTCATTCACAATATCCCATTTGGGCAGCTCGTATTCGTGAAGCGCCAGCTCCATGAAAACGAATTCCTCACATCAATTTGTATCGAATTTTCCGCTTTCCCAGCCAATTTCCTAGACATGATCTCGGTTCTCGGCGCTTTTCCCCGAGCACATTAATATTCGTCCATGGACTATTGAAGAAGTCATTAGTTTCGAGATGCCGTCCCTTCGCGGAGCTCATTACGCTCATGAAATTCCTCTCTTGCTCTATCGTTGCCATCAATCATAGCTACATGTTTCGAGAGCCACCAGTCGCACGCTTGAGATCTCCTCAAGGTTCTCTTCATCTGCCTGGCATTTGTATTCCTTTTTTCCCTGCTGATTTCCTTTTCACTTCTATCCACAGCCTGTTCAAAGATTCAAAGATTTAATGGCTACTGTTTTCAGATGTCCGTGACGTCGTTTCTGCGACGGATGTCCGTCGATTCGGAGTCACCGAAGTCGAGTGCTCGGTCGAGTCGTGAGTCGCGCGAGTCGCCACGGAAGAGCATACCACGTCGGAGTCGCCTTGTCGCCAGCATCGACTCGGCACGACGACGTTTTTCCCTTCAGCACAGCAACGACAAGTGACTATCATCAAATACAACCGACCACGTTACGTGACCGCATCAAAGACCGCCTCGACATCAGCAGCCTGCCAGATTTCAATGAGGTGAGCTCTACTGGCATTTGCTTACAGCTGCGCCCAACATTCCACATCATTTTTCACGCGTTTGTGCTCTGGAAAAAGAGGACAAATATATGTTTACTCACTGTTTAGTTTGTTTTCTTTGCTTCAGTGCAGTTTGGTGGGTGGAAGTTTGGAGGGGGGGGGCTAATCTGTTATCTTGTCCTTAGCACTTGAAAGCACTCATTTGGGTTCTCGACGCTAATGTCTGGGGTGGGGAGGACACTGAACAAAGTGGACCACTTTCAGAACTTGGGACTGAGCCTTAGGGGGAGTTAGGGGAGCCACGTGAGCAAACCTTTGTTATGCTTGTTCTGAATGTCTCAGATACATAGCGCCGGCTCAGCTACACTAAGGATAAGACAAGTGAGCGATTCAGTTGAGCGCAGCTTTTGATGCAGGGACCGGTGGATCGTCATACATTCCATCGCATGTACCCACATAACAACCCCAACTGTTCCAACGTGATCATCAAACTCTATGAGCTCCACCACCTCTTGGGACTAGGCACGAAGCCCATTCCGCTGGTTCAGGACGCCTTTCCCTTGGTACGAAAATAAAATAAAGTATTTGCCGTTGAATAAATAATTTTGGGATGCAGGCAGTGGCCGGCCGTTGTACAATCAGGCGCACTATATCCCTCCAGACAAATTCTGAAACCAAGTACCCCCGACCCCGGGGCGGTGGAAGCGTGGTCTTGGACCTGGATGGATCCGAAGCGCGCCGCGGTAGGTAAGCGTGGCCACTTGCTTGCATCCCTGCCGGCCCTCCTTGGTAACCATAGAAGGCCCAATATGGAAAACACTTGGGTTCTACTTCGCACTTCTCGGTAGTTTTCAGCCAGTACTTTTCAGAGGGTCGATTACACGTATATGCGCTCTATTATGTTCGTTTTCTCCGGAGAACATAATAGTGCCCTTCCCCAAAAATCACTCTTTTTACCCTATTACTTATTAATTGTTGATCCCTTTGGCATTGAATTGGGAAATTTTGCTTTTGGAAGAGTGGACCGGTAAAAGGAGGGGTAGTCATGCTAGACCGAAATCTACTATCGATCCCCATGTATGCAGATGCGGAACAAAGTAGGAATGACGCCTTCAAAATATAAAAGTTGACTGATTTGACTTCTTGCAGTAGAGAAGTATTTTGACAGAATGTCTTTAAGACTTCAAAAAATGCTCTCGGGGTGTACCACAGCTTCCTCTGTTCCTATTCACAAACAAAATCCGCCGGCAAGGCTGCTTCATCTTCTGAGTTCCGTCCTCTCGTAGGCTCCTTTTTAGCGAAGCACTTCACCGAAACCCCAGGGGAAAGCCCACCTGCAATCTGCAATGGAGCAACGCAATCTAAATAATTTCTAGAAGCCTGGCTAATACATAATACATATTCGCTTTTTCATCAAGCTATCAACGGACAAGCCTTCACCATGTCCGTTGATGGATGTCCAGACCAGTCCATGGCCATAAACAACTGAAAAAAATTGATAGCCCTCTTAGCTATTTTCTTGTGCCGAATTATTTCGTGCCTTCCGTTTTGTCACAATCTCGGTAGATTAGTGGGTGGAAATTCCGCTTCGGGAGGGGGGCACTCCTTTTCTTGTCGTAGTACTATGAGAGCACTTTGATGTCCAACGGGGCTCTTACAACCTTGTGCTAGACAGTGTCCATACCCTGATTAGGATCATTTTTCTTTTGACCGCACAGCAGCCGAAATCATGAAACACCCTAGATACTCCCATAACGCGGTCTTATCCGACGTAATTCGAGATGCTTTCAATTACGGTCATGGGAACTCTTATCCTCATTCTTAGGTTAATACTAGAGAGCACAATGGAGTGCCCCCTTACCCTATTCTAGAGTTTCACCAAATTAATTCAATAAGTGGAGCAGGTGTTTCCATAGCGGCAACATCCGAAATGCTCGAGCTGCTATTCCAGGAACTTGCAATTTCATCAAAACCTGAGCAAATCCCATCTCCTGGGAAAAGGCGACATCTCCGTTGGTGAATTCCATATTCACGTTGGAGAACTGCTTTCCGAACACATTTTCTATAGCTATTGATTCTGCGTTCCAGAAGGCGGAACAGTCACAACTCTCTACTTTAGAATCGCCAATCAACTGGCGCATTTTGAAGTTAATTTCATTGTAACAACACGTTTTAGCTGATGGGTAAGTTTTGCTAGAACTCGTTAGTTTGTTGTTGCGGCAATGAGCGACCTCATTATCCAAGCATTCCATACCCGTCTCTAAAGGGCTCAGTCGCCTCAATCAAACGCGAGAGTGAAATACTCGGAACTTGCCACTCACTTCAGCCAGCACAACTTTCGTGCGATAACAGACGAAGGCTGTTAGAACTAGACACGTTTGTAACAACTGGTTTGACAAGATATGAAACTCTTTACGGCTTGTCACTCCTTTTTATTTCTCCGAACCATCAGAAGGGGCTGAGAGCTGAAGGAAGACAGCACAGTATACGGTCAAACAAACAACCCAGACCGTGTCAGGTTAATGATTCTTTCGGTTTCTAGATAGAACCTTGGAAGACAATAGTGCAGATGTGGTGCCTCCTATGCACCGAATGCCAGATACAGAGTCTGCGCGTTCCGCGAGAGTCATTGTAAACTCTTCAATTCCCTCCGGTTCATGTTATCGTTGCCTGGGTTCCCCGCTGTCATGGCGTCGTTTCCTGTCGTCGTCTCACCGGCTTTAGTTCAGTCTCCTCTCATTGTCTTCAGCCGCGCTGGACCGAACTACCTGATCCAGACCCTTCGAATTGGCGTTTTCTTCGGATTCTTTCCCGTTCGCCTTTACCGCGGGCCCACTTCGCACTGGCGGTCAGTAATACTGGCACATGCCTCTACGGTTTACGGGCTACTTAATTTTTCCTAAATGGTCCATGGCCGCGATGGCTAGAGCACAGACGATTAGAAGAAAGGTGAATGCCCTTGGAATAAGCATTACAAGGGAGGTCGTTCAGGATGTGCCAAGCTTTTTTCAGAATGTTTCTTGCATGGCATCGGGGCACATGTGGAAACCATGGTTCTATGGTTCCCGCATGTCCCCCTAATGTTAATGCCAGTTCACTATGGCACGACCTGACCGGACCTCCCTTCGTCGGTGTGGCATAGAGAAGGGCCGCTAAAGAGCGGCAGAGGCGGTTATATGAACTGAGTTCCAGAGTAGTCCGGCGAGCCATGTCTATTACGATCAGTCGGAGTTTTCACCTCTCCATGAACAGCTACAGACTGCCGCCCGGCACAAAAGCAAACTGTCCATGAGTGTTTATTTTCAAAAAGTAGTTTTCAATCGTGAAAGCAGCTGCAGAGCACTTTCGGTCGGTTCGAATTGTTTTTCATCCGTCAGTGTGGTGTTGAGTAATGATTGGTTTTCGGCAAAAGATCCGTGACTGATTGTTTTGCAGAAAGCCCTACCGCGATCGGCCCCAGACGAAGCGGGTCTCCTTGGTGGCTGGGGGAGACAAAGCCATATTTCTGCACAAAAATCGGAAAGCGCATATTTCAAAGGTAAGCTTCTGTGAGCATTCTTCTTTTGTTAAGCTATCCATTATTGGGGTCTCAAGAAAAAACTGTGGTTCTGTTTGAACATGGAGAGAGGAGCGTTTGCAATACGAATTTTTTTTCAAGTTAACTGTGGCTTACTACAACGAAAGGATAAAAAATTTGGCCTCAATCAACTCCTTTTTGGGATGCGCCAGGCATTCTACTTTCTGTGTTATTTGAGTGCGAGTTGGGCTGCACAGTGACTCGTTTATCCAGCTGCAGTTCAAGTCGGCTTTCCTACTTTCACAGACGAGTTTTTCGCCAATCTACGAGCGAGATCCAATCTTGAATTGGACCCGTGGACGGCGGGTGAAATGCTTTAAAACCCACCAGCTTACCACTTCCGCTCATTATTCGCTACAACAATACATAACAATACCAATATTTTTCACATGCATGAGAATAAATATGGTAGCGGGCGAAATTATGTGTACTGCTTTTCAAAAAACGAGAAGAGCGTCGGGTGCAGACCATACACCACAAGTGACGACGGCCTCCAAAATGTAAATGTTTTCTGCCAATGAAATGATTAGCCTGTTGCAGTTGTATTCTATCAGTTGTCACTAATTACAACTATCTACTACCTGGAAATCGCTTGAGGAAAACGACAACGGCTCGTCGAGGATTTCTTTCACGCTCTCCCACGCGGATGCTCACTCTCGCCACCCGCGAGCCGTCTGTGCTCTCCGCGCATGCATTCACTCTCGACACTACTCTCGCACAGTAGAGAGCCATGGTCGAGGAATTCCTCGACCGTTATTCACCCTGGCTACTACTAACCAGATTTACTTGAAGCCGTCGTCACTTGTGGTGTATGTTCTGCACCCGACGCTCTACTCGATTTTTTTGAGAGGAGGGTATATTCGTTCCTGATTTTTTTGCCTATATCTTCGGTCATCATCCATGGACCTTGTTCAAATTTTGATACCTTATGCAAGTAAGGGTTAACCGTTTGAATAGCTAAACTTTGTTGAGCAGAATATTTTTGATGATTTCTATGAAAATTCACAACAATTAATTAATCTCGAGCAAATTTCGAATCTTTAAAAAAAATTTGCTCACTATTGAAGAGAACAACCAAGTGCACGACAGTGATGAACCTACTCCATTGATACGGCCCTCCCCTTCCACACAGCAGGCCCAATACAACTTCCCCCTCCCCGTCGTGTCAGATCCCTCAACCCACGCTTGATCGCGTTCGAAAACGAAGAGTTATTTGAAACCTTGGTCATAATAAATTCCATCTTCTCTCGTCGTAGAACCTAGGCACTGTTTATTTACGGAGGAGAAGAATTATAAATCTGTCAGGATAAACGGAGGAGATGTTTGGCGGTTTAACACGCCAAACGTCGCGTTGAACGTCGAGGGATTTTCGCGCGTGTGCCACCATGTGGTGCACGTCGCCACACATGGTGGGAATTGTGCAGGCTTTCGTGAACAGCAGGTCAAAACTAAAGCGTGCTTTCATGTTCAGCTTCCATTGAAGAAATTTCCGTTGACGACAACTTGGTCCTGCCTTTCCGCTCTAAATCTAGAGTGCAAGGAATGTAAGCTGCAGAACATCTTCGAACAGTGCGGAACAACAGCTTTGGGCGAGGGAGTGGCTATTTTTTGGAGAAGGGGTCTCGTGAACTGCGCGCCATAGGTACGCAATTCATCAAATAGAAAATTTTGACAATGAATGCAAAATGTGTTTTGCTTCAGATCAGAAATGAGATGCTGGTCAGTTGTAAAATCCTCGCTCCAAAACAATAAAACTTGAGCAATATCCATGGAAAATTGGTTCGAATTTAGCCAAAAATCCAAAACCCCAGAATTTCAACCGCATATCTCCCTGCATGCTATTGTACCTAAAATAGAGAAACCTCCGGAAGCCGCGTTCACACTTCGCGAACCGTGATCGCTGCTACCGTAACACGTTACCCTATAGCAGTAGAGGTGGTCGACTCGAACAGCGCGGTGCAATAGCTTCGAATGACTATTCTCCTCTTCGTGTTAATACTTTTGTTTTTCTTCATTTTCAGTCAACCAGTTGGAGTAATTCCATGGTGTCAATCACAAATACACCTGTACGTTGAAGCATCGTAGTCTCAAACCTGAAAGTTCAAGACGTTGACTGAATTGCGACTTGGCACTTGATTAATTAAGCTTATTTGTGGTGTGCGGAATGCGAGCCAAAGAAAGCTGAGCGGCCAGGTAGCGGTGCTCTAAAAAGAGTCTCTCTGGGTGCAACATTGCTTCGTTTCCGTCAACGAAAGCAAGTTTTCGCTAAACCGAATGCCCATTGTGAACTATTGGTCTTTACTGTGAACTTCTCAATCAACCATTTCTTTTCACTCTCTCTCTTTGGTTCAGCAAATATATGCTGTTACGTGAAAAAATACTCACTTACGAAAGATCGAAACATAAACCGTAGAATAAGAGGAGCACCTCTAGTACACACTAATGTGGGAAGATCATACGTGCGTGGGGCGTCCGCAGAAACGTAGAAAAGCTCTACCCATCCCCCAGGATTCCTCGTTCCGCCCATCAAATGGCTACACCAGCTGCTGGTCCCTCGCTGTTGGACACTAACCATTTCGGGGCCGATGTCAGAC